TTCTACCTTAGAGCTATTTTTGGATTGAGCAGCGAAAAATCCATGAGATCCACAGACAAGCACTCAGGAACCACAGAAGGTTGCAGATGGCAGGTGATTTTGGGAAGTGACACTAGGGCTGCCCCTGCAGTATAGAAAGAATCTGGGATGAGGGTTAGGAGTAGGTGGCCCTTGCCTCCAGGCAGGTGATGTTTATGCTAAAGCAAGTGACCCCTTGATCTATTCAGGATGGAAGGCATTTTCCAAATTCCATCCAGGAAAACATGATATTCTGTGTGGCTCCCAGTTTGTAAGAAGCAAGAAGCAATGGAAATAAACTGCATGGATGAGCAAAAAACAGGAAGAATTGGTGCTTAATACAAACCCACAGAGGCAGGCTCTTTCACATCAAGATGGGGATCCAACTGGCTCACTAAAGTCAAAGGTAGCAGGTGAGCACAAGGGAGGTTGCATTTTGATGTGCATTTGTTTGAGCTATCTCCCCAAAATTATCTCACATCAGAGACTCTGTGCAAACTTTCAGCCATCCTGAATATAAGATTTTTATTGAATGGTATAAATAAAATATAATGCACATTAATGAATAAGTCATGTGGTTTCTCTGCAAGGGGGTATCATTAGTAAGACTTACACTGATAATATAATCATAACCCCTCCCTCTAAGGATTAAATTTAAATGTATCCTTCCAGCAAAGCCATGGTGAATTGAAAAAGAAAGGAAGAAAAAGAAAAAAGGTGATATAATCACATCTCCTAAAACGAAATTTTAAAATCTCACTTGGGTTATACAGCTCTCAATAACAGGCTTAATTAAACATTTCTTTAATTCTCCGTTTTTTATTGTCATGGGACAGTAGACTGGTGAGGGGGTAGTTCCACCATTTATTCCTGAAGCCATAAACTGTGTGGTGATTTTTAGCTCAGACACAAGGAGGCAGCAGTGAGCCAACGAGGAGCATAAACAATGGTAACAGCTTGGAGCCGGAAAAGTTTGACTCCAGACACTGAGAAACCCGCTAGCTGTTTAAAATCATTTAAACCCAAACAGAAACACTTTATTTAAAAGACTTTAAAATTAAACAGTAGAAGAATTTACTGTTCTAGCATATGTTTTCTGCTCCCCGTTAGTACTTACTTTCCCTACTTCCCAGATGTCTTTGTTTTTCCTACTGACGATTTTCTTTTTTTAAGATTTTAAGTAATCTCCACACCCAGCGTGGGGCTCGAACTCACAAACCTGAGCTGGAACGTGGCCTGCTGTCCTACTGAGTGAGCCAGCCAGGCGCCCGGACAATTTTCTTTTTTAATCCATTTAGGAGTTGGAGGAGTTGGAGCATTTTAAAGCTCCAACATCTTTCTGTCTAGTCCAAGGTGAAGGCCGGGGTGCGGATCAATTTGCTCCCAGCCCACCAGCGCAGACAGCAAGCTTCTCGGCGGAGGTGGCGGGAAGGCACAAGGTAACAAGGGCCGCCTTTGGGCAGAACCCTCTGAGGAGCAAATTGGCTTCCAAGGGCTCCTTTCCTTTAAATCCTCTTCCTCCCCAAAGAGGAAGATTGGTCTCCTCCCTGCCTTTCTGGAAACGGACTGGGCACCGCAGGCCGGGCATTCCGTGAACAAAGGTACCACACCCAATCCATCCTTCATCCACGGGCGAGGGTGCAGAGACTCCTGGAAGCAAAGGAGGGGGATGTTGGCTGGGGGCAGGCTGGTCCGCCCCAGGGCGGGAGTAGGTATTGGGACTGACACCCTGGCCCGGGAGGGTCTGGGCTCTCCCCCAACCCCGTGGCCTCAGAAGCTCCCTCAAGGAGCACCCAGGGCAGTCCCAGTTGCTGCACCTCACAAGAGGCCTTTGTTAGGCGGTCAGGCCCGGTTTAATTTTTAAGCTCGCCGGGTGCTGCCCTCCTGGCTCCGGGCTTTCCCCTCGCACAGCTGTGGCTTCAGCGGGCCCAAGGCCTGGCCCGAAGGTGCCGCGCTTCCCCTCGCCCGCGTCTGCCCCGACAAGTGGCAAAAGAGATGCAGCTGTCAAGGGGGTGCTGGGGCAGGTGGCACCTGGGCCGAGGTCCCTCCTCCCGCCTGCGCTCCCAGATCCCCGCTCTGCCCCGCCCAGCCCTGAGGCGGCGGGCCTTCCCCCGTCCCCCCACCCCCACCCCCGCCCCCGCCCCCCGCGGGCTCCAGCTTGGGCCTTTCTGGAACTCAACCGCTGAGTCCCGGGGTGGGCAGCCATACGGCGGCGCAGAGCGTCCAACTCCAAGGCCTGCTCTCCTTTCTGGGCGATTTCCATCCATTCTGCCTCTCTGGAAAAATCGAGGCGTAATTTTACATTTCTGATTTTTTTTGAGCCTGGCAGAACACAGCTGCAAGCCTCCCTCGGTGGGTCTTTAAATCGGCTCAGAAGCAGAGATTGCCTATGGGGAACAGGCAGCTGGGGGGTTTTGTTTGTTTTTACTTTCTACCCTTCTGCGTTGTTTCGCCTTTCCCCAATTGTTATTTCATCATGTCTGAAAAGGAAAGAATGAGGACAGGTCTGCCGCTCTGACCAAAGTCAGGGTCATTGCCACGCTGGAAAGCAGGGCTCACACAGCCGGTTTTTCTCTTCTGTTCTTAAAACTAGGCTTCAATCCTTGCTCCCACTATTGTAGTCTCCTTTGCTAAAAGAGTATTAAGTGCCTAACCTGTCCTTGGATGCCTGTTTCCTGAGGAGCAGGCTGAAGGGCTTCCTAGTGGCCCAGCCCACTGGCCTGCATCCCACTACCCTCCTCCCTCTAGCAGGCTGTGGTTTTTCCTCGTTTTCAGAAGCATGATGCTATCAGGCCCAAGAATTGGCCAGGGAAGGGCTCACTACAGACAGGACCTCTCAGAAAAATGGTCAGGTAAGTCCATGCTGCATATGATACTCTGAAAAGCAAATTGTCAGGAGAGCGGGAGCAAAGTGGCTGCTCTTTAACACTTTGTCCTCTGATTTGCATTCTCTCCTTAATCAATTTAGCCTCCAAACACCCACCCTGCTCTCGGCTCTCTGGCTCTCTGCCCGTCCTGGGTTACAAAGGGAGGGAGACACATCCCGCACCCAGAGAACCCCACCTGTGTGGGATACAGTTCAGGGATGGGTGGGGGCCACAGAGCCCAGAGCCTCGGCCAGCCCTGCCAGCCCAGGTCCCAGAAGGTTCTCAGGAGGAGAAGATGCCTGAGGCAAGTCTGAAAGGACCAGTTGGCCAAGCAGAAAACATGGGAAAGGCCATTCCCCATGAGGGAAACATGAAATAAAAAGGGGGTCCTTCTGTCATTGAGCTTCTCTACATGTCCTGTTCCCCCCATTCTAAACACTGCGTAGGTCGTACATTTAGTTCTCACAACACAGTGGGGCAAGTGCTCTAATGGCTCCATGTCAGAGCCAAGGTCCGTGAGGCATGGAGGATGGAGTGATTCTTCAGGGTCACACACGTCATGAGCAGGGCAGTCAGAATTTGAACTGAGGCCGTCTGGCTCCAGAGTCCTTGCTCTAACCCCCAATTATCTTTCAGTTTGGGTAACTCCAGAAGTATGAGGTGACTAGAACAGAGTGGCAGGAACTGGGTGGAAAGGTAGGCAGAAGCCACAGGATGCCAAGGAGCCCACATTTTATACTGAAGATGGGGAGAGGCTTGGAAACAATGGAGTATTGTTATCAGATCTAGGTTTTAGAGACATCTGTGCTTCTGGAAGGATTGGTGAGGCGAATAGGGCAGCAGCCAGGTGGCTGTGAGCCATCTAATGGACGACTGAGGAGGGTCAAGCCAGGTGGAGAAGGTGGATATTTCTGAGCTCTACTGAGGAGACAAGGCCTGATACTCAGCACCCAGTTTAGGGGATGGGATGGGGGGGGGGTCTCTGCTCAGGTATGCTGGGGACACAGCAATGATAAGATCAGGCTTGGAAGGTGGGGGAGGAGCCAGTCAGGGGTCTGTGGAGATTCCATGCGGACAGAAGGACCCTAATTAGGTCAGTGGCAGGAGGAACGGAGAAGAGGAGACAAGTGCCAGAGATCATTTTAAAGCAGGCATTCTTAGCCTGGAAAGAATTCAAGGGGTTTATAAACTTGTAGGGGAGAAATAGTTTATATTTATTTTCATTTTTACCTTTCTCTTACTAAAATTGTATCCTATTCTGTGATGATTAATATAGAAACACTACTATAGCAACTTTAGCAATATTTATGGCTTTGTCACCCATAGAAATCACAGATTTTTCACATTACATTTCACGGAGTATCTGTGAGTATCATTTGTGTTCATCACTACTTTAAAATGATGGTAATTAGACTTGACATTGGATCTGAGTATTTAATACTATATTAGTGCATTATTACAATTTAGGGGCACCCAGGCACCCCTAAAAAGCATTATTCTTGAAGCTATCCTAAGTCTTCACCATGCTGCCAACAGGTTTAATGATTCCAAAAAAAAAAAAAAAAAAGTTACAAGCACCTGACCGAGGGACACCTGGGTGGCTCAGTTAGTTAAGCATCTGCCTTTGGCTCATGTCTTGATCCCAGGGTCCTGGGATTGAGCCCCACATCAGGCTCCCTGCTTACTGGGGAGCCTGCTTCTCCCTCTCCCTCTTCCTGCCCCTCCCCTTGCTTGTGCTCTCTCTCTCTTTCTGTCAAATAAATCAATAAAATCTTAAAAAAAAAAAAAAACCTTACTGAAAGGTAAGATAAATTATGCTTGTTAATGGCTGGTGGTGAGGAGTGAGGGGGAAGGAGGAAAACAAGGAGCCTAAGAGAGTACCTGGGTGCTTGACGGCTGCACCTTCCACCATGGAGTACACAGAGGGAGGAAGAGGTTTGGGGAGGATGGGGAGCAGGATCTTCATTTGTGAAAATGGCAGGTACAAGAAGCAGTTGGAGCTTCCTAGTGGAAAGCTGGAAACGTGGGTCCAAAGTTCAGGAGCAACCATGGAAATGGAAATCTCGTTGCAGAGTCAACAGCAGAGACTTGTCATGGAATCGAAAGACATATCCAGGAAGAGCCTGTGAGATGGGAAGACAAGAGGTTGGAGCCTGGGGGACACTGGTAGGTACTTAAGGGAACCTGGGAAGGAGGGGGGTTGACAAACGGAGATCAAGCAGTCAGAGGGCAAGGAGGATGGGGCCAGTACAGAAAGGATGCAGGGGACTGTGTTGAAGACATTGGCAGAGACAGCACAGACGCCCCATGAGATGAGGACCAATCAGAGGCCAGAGGCTGGCCCTGGCGACCCTAGGGGGTGGTTCTCAAAAGCTGTGAGGAACCAGATCTCAGTAAGTAAGTAAGGAAAGAGGAAGCAGAGGCCATATATAGGAGCTTCTCTTTCAAACCATTTAATGGAGAGAGGACAAGAGTCAGGAAGCTTCTAAAACAGAGGAAGGCAGGGAGTGGGTGGGCAGAGCATGAGCATGCTTGTGGTGTGACAGGGAAAAGCCAGTGAATAGCCATCCAAAGGTGGGGACATCAGCAGGAAGAAAGAGCTGCTGGACAAGCTGAGTTAGTCGGGTGAGAGGCCGGAGCCCAGCAGGGCACACGTGGAGGGAACAAGTGGAGCCATCTGTTCCTCTTGCAGGACGGAAGATGTTAAGTATAAAAGAACACACAGCTCAGTCTGGACGAAGTGAGAAAGGAGAGAAAATGCATCCCCTCATTCTGGTTTCCTCCTGGGAGAGGTGGGTCCAGGGCTCATGGGCCTGAAACGCACGCAGTTTGGGAGGAAGTCCTGTTTAAGAAAAAACACACAATTGGAGTGCCTGGGTGGCTCAGTGGGTTAAAGCCTCTGCTTTCGGCTCAGGTCATTATCCCAGGATCCTGGGATCGAGCCCCGCATCGGGCTCTTTGCTTGGTAGGGAGCCTGCTTCCCTTCCTCTCTCTCTGCCTGCCTCTCTGCCTGCTTGTGATCTCTGTCAAATAAATAAATAAATGGATAAAATCTTAAAAAAAAAAAAAAGAAAAAACACACAATTTACAAAATCAAAATTAGGGACAAAATGGATATTATTTAGAATGAGAAAAGGAGTCACACAAATTACACCACAAACTATACAATTCAGAAAATAATATGATTTCTATTCATTGACTGGCATGCCTCTCCAATACTTTATTTGCCCCTACATCTATGGCCATAGATTCTGATCATCTCTAAAATGGAGAAAATTTTATAATATTTTCTAAAGAAATCATAGAATAAGAATGCAATACTTCTCATGTGCTTGGTGGAAATTTACTTTTTATTTTTAAAATTTTTAAAAAGATTTTATTTCTTTATTTAACAGAGAGATCACAAGTAAGCAGAGAGGCAGGCAGAGAGAGAGGGGGAAGCAGGCTCAATCCCAGGACCCTAAAACCATGACCTGAGCCAAAGGCAGAGGCTTAACCCACGAGCCACCCAGGCACTCCAAGAAATTGATTTTTTAATATTGATGGGTGAGATGCATAAAGCTCGAAACCCCAACACAGACCACTTGGTGTTTGTAGAACTGCCATGGGCTTCTGGTCTGCAAATGCAGGAATTATAGTTTGCTCAAACGTGATTCCCATTAAAAAAGGTACAATGTGTGTCTTAGCTTAGGCCATTATAATAAAATACCCTAAACAATGTGGCTTAAATAACAGACATTTACTTCTTCCAGCTCCAGAAGCTAAGAAGTCTGAGATCGGGTGCCAGCTGGGGCAGGTTCTGGTGAGAGCCTGCTTCCTGGCTTATAGAGGCTGTCTTCTCGCTCTGTGCTCACAGGACAAGGAGAAAAACAAGCTCTCTGCTCTCTTCTTATAAGGCCACTAACTCCATCATAAGGACCCCATCCTCATGACCTCATGACCTCATCTAAACCAAATTACCTCCTGAAGGCCCCGTATCCAAATACCATCCCATTGGGTTTTAGAGTGTCAATGCCTACATGGGGGGAGGGGTGGGCACAAACGTTCAGTACATCAGAATGCATTAATAATTATTAACATTGCATTATCTGGCATGTTCCCAATAAGGAAGAATTCTTGTTTTGACTATGCCCTGAGAACCAAATCCTTTACTTATAATTTTATACATCAGAGAATTATACGAACTTACCAACTTTTCAGAAGACCGATTTCTGGCTCTGCTCATTTCAAATCATTTTCTCCTCAACACTATGCACCTGCTGTCGGCCTGTGTAAGACACATTCCCTTTACCATGTCTACCTCTACCTCCATGGGAGGAGGCCTGGGAGCTGCCTCTACCCCGGGGTGGCCGGCAGTAACCGACATTGATACGAAAGTGGCCCAAACACGTAGATGTTCCCTCGCTAAACTCCAACTAAATGTGTCTACAACTCAACTCCATTAGCTGAATCCCCAAATGCCCACAGCCACCTAATGCTACCTAACGTAGAGACATCTTAACCAGTGGGATTAAATTATCTTACTTTTATTTATATATATATATGTGTGTGTGTGTGTGTGTGTGTGTATGTATATATCTTACATTTGCAAACTTGACATATGTGTGTGTGTGTATCTTACATTTGCAAACTTGACGTGTGTGTGTGTGTGTGTGTGTGTATCTTACGTTTGCAAACTTGACAAAAACGCCACAGGAACACCTCATTAGGACCTCTCTCAGGGCCTGGAAGTGAGTGACTGTGCCAAACAAGGAGCTTTCCCTTCCAGGTGATTTGATCTCTGCCTGGGGGGCACAGGCTGTGAAGGGGAGGGTGGGAGCCATGATGAGACAGCTTACTGGGGGAAATGTTACTTGTGTATTAAGTCATTGAATCCTCTTAATGTTGCTGTGATGTTGGTACTATGAAAAATCTTCATTTTACAGATAGGGAAACTGAGTCATAGAGACATTAGGCAACGTGCCTGGAGTCACACATATAGTAAGTGCCAGACCTGGGATTTGAACCCAGGCAGTCTGGCTCATACTTGTACCTAGGACAGGAAGCAGCCTCTCCACAGCATAGCTCACAACCTCCATGGCCCCTTAGGACACTGCAGTCCCATCTATAACTTTCTGACAGCATATATTTTACTTATTTGCCTATTTTCTGTCCCTTGCTACTAAAATATAAACTCTCTGCAAGCAGAACTGTTTATTTTGCTCACTGCTGTCTCCCTGCACTTGGAATGATGCTTGGCCCACAGTAGGCATATAATAAATATTTTATTTATTTATTTTATAATAAATTCTTTAGTATTCTCCTAAGCCTTTTTTTAAGATTTTATGTATTTATTTGAGACAGAGAGAACATGGTGGGGGAGGGGCAGGACAGAGGGAGAGGGAGAAGCAGACTCTCCTCTGAGCTGGCAGCCTGACGTGGGGCTCATTCCCAGGACCCCAGGATCATGACCTGAGCTGAAGTCAGATGCGCATGTAACAGACTGAGCCACCCTGATGCCCCATTTTTCTAAACTCTTTGAGTTGAAGTACTCTAGTTGGAAGAATATAAATAAGTAATATCTTTGGAAAACTGCAAAAGAAAGTGAAAATTAGAGGAAGTGCATATCAATAAAAGGAGGGGGTGGGGGGGATTTTGTCTGAAATGAAATCCAGGAGAAAATGAAATTTATTATGTATTTTGAATATACATAATACATTCACTATGGCTCTGTTCTAAGTGTCTGTGATTCATGTTCTCCTGTCCCATGTCTCTCAGATCAGGTTGGTTATACAGGGAACCAACAGGGGTGATCAGATCATCTTGAAACTCAGATGATCTTGAGTGCCCAGTTGAGGTTTGAAATTCAAAATTTGTACTAACTCCTGATGGCGTGAGTATGTATTATGTGATTTTCTCCATTGATATTCAGGGCCCAAAGAAAATGGATAAATGGATCCAAAATTGAGGCTTTGATGACTGGCTGTGCCATTAAGTCAAAGGAGGAAAGAGATTGTATCTGATGATGACAATATCCTGAAAACCAAGAGGGCTGAAGGCCGTTAGCTGGGGAGACCAAAGGCCAGATGCCTTGGTAAGACTGAAGATGGGGGTTGCCTGTTAAGCATCTAACTGTTGGTTTTGGCTCAGGTCATGATCTCAGGATCCTGGAATGGAGTCCCATATCAGGCTCCTTTCTCAGTGGGGAATCTGCTACAGGATTCTCTCTCTCTCTCTCACTTTGCCCCTCTCCCTTCTCACTTTCTCTAAAATAAATAATTTTTAAAAAAGACTAAAGATGGGAGGAATGGCGGTGTAGGGGAGGAAGGTATAGGGCTGAGGTCAGGGTGGAATTTCCAAGTTCAAGATGTCAGAGGTGAAACAGTTCTAGGTGATGACAAGGTCTTGTAACAGGATAGGAGATATTGATGACAGGTGAGCACAGCTCTCAGATGAGTCATAGGATAGGAGAAAATTTGATAGGATGTGGGTTAGGCACGGATGTATAAGTTCATCGGCTTGAACCATGATTTGTAAACTGTAAAGCCAGCCTTAAATATCACCTTCTCCAACACTCCACTTTAAAAAAAAAAAAAAAGATTTTATTTATTTATTTGACACAGATCACAAGTAGGCAGAGAGGCAGACAGAGAGAGAGATTGGAGGAAACAGGCTCCCGCTGAGCAGAGAGCCCGATGTGGGGCTCGATCTCAGGACCCCAGGATCATGACCTGAGCCAAAAGCAGAGGCTTTAATCCGCTGAGCCACCCAGGCATCCACTTTTGACTGACAATACTTTATCTGTAATAATTATAAAATAATGACCCTCCCCAAATTAACAAACCAGGCTCCTAGCATCATCTCAATTCAGTAGGCTTATAAAGTCGGGGCGGTTTTGTTTATTGAAGGATTAATTCTGTTCACTTGCAGATAAACACACAAGAAAGAAATGTTCCTTCACAGCTCCAGATTAAATCCCTTTTAAGATGATACTGAAGAACCCATATTTTATTTGGTGTTACACACATCATAAAAGACTTGTGGTCTCCAGAAGTTCATATTCCAAGGTGACAAGCCCCTCAGTCAATGCATAAATATGATGCTAAACAATGGGAGGATGGATAAAAGCACTTATATCTTCCAGACATCCTGTCCATGAAGTGCTCCAATTACCAATACACCCAGCTGATTTTCAGAGAAACAAAGAACTTTACCAGATATTCACCAGGAGCTTTTAACATAGATAATAGAAGCTTGAAATTGGATGTAATGTCCAGTGAGGAGTAAGATTTCAACTTGTTTCAATGTCAGGTGCAGCTGGGGATAGGCAAAGAAATGTTTTGTTTGGTTTTGCAGACTTTTTTCGTTCAGTACTTAGCCTGAAACCTTAAAGAGGTTTCTGGGTATCAGAAATCCCAGATCAGCCGTAGCCAGCCAGGAAATTGATTTTACTTTAAGGGTATTCATAATAACAGAACCAATCTCTATGTTCATTAAATTCACCTGAAATGATAAGTCTCACAGAAGTCTTTCAAAGTGGAGATTTTGCAAAAAGGCTTTCAACCCTGCACATTTTCTAACCAGGGAGTAACTAGGCAATTTCTCCTCTCCCTGCTCTGGAGGAAAGATCGACAGGCACCTGGGTAATGTAGACGTTAGAAGTGAAGGAATCCATGTGCCAAATCTTGCATGTGAAGTAATTTTTAGAGATTTTATGGAGCTAGGGAAACAATTTTGCCCTTTCCATTTTTCCCCTACTGAGTTTTCCATATCTCCAAGACAGATGGAGCACATGTAACAAAACCAACCAAATGCAGAGAATGCAATCTGGGATATTAAAAATAAAATCTTTTCCAAATCTTCACAGGCTCCTTTAAAAACACTTCTACCCAAGTGCTAAAGCAGCTAACAGAGGTGTCTAAAAATGGAAAGAAGAGGTGCCCCAAGGGTTCTTTTTTTCAAAACCAGTCAGCATTAATATTTACTTCTCAGAAAGGGTTCTATACACAATCAGCAAATATGACCAAATTTAGTCATATGTGGATTGAAGATGATTATATCCCAGAGAGCTCTCCATTAAGAATCTTTAAATATAAAAATGTTGAATCTAATCCAGAAATAAGGCAAACGGGCAAATGCAATCAACACCCGGTTAAAATGTTAGTATTTCAATGGGCTTCAAATAAACACTCAGTACCATTATATTACTCAAAGAAACCAGTAAAGAGAATATGGTGAGGTAGATTTTGACATTGTATTGTTTGCCCTTTTACTAACTATAAACTCTTTATTATGGACATGCTGTAGCTTATATTTTACATTTTCATAGCATTCAAATTTTATATTTCTGTAATATTTAAATGTAGGAACCTATCAATCATGGCTCCTGGGTTTTTAATTTTCTATGTAAAACTAATTTATTCTGAACTGCATGTAATTTCAGATTTTCTAAGAGTAGATTAACCTCACAAAATTGTGTTCAAATATCACTATTCCTTTGCCATCATCCAAAGAATACATCAATATTCAATTAAATGTAAATAAAATTAATTTTTTTCTCCTTTTTTCCACTGGGACATATAAGTAAATTGTTTGAAAGGTATTACTGATGGAAATTAAATGTAAATTACTCATTTCTCAGTTTCTGGAACCTCTGTGCACTGGGAACTTATCTAGGTGCTGGCTATGAGCAAAGTGAACAAGGCCCAGTCAGGCTAAAGGGGTGCGGGGGGGGGGGGCGGGTAATGTATGGGCAAAGCCCCATAAATAAGCAAATGAATGAATAAGACCATTTCAGATAGTGATGAGTACTGTAAAGGAAAGGAAATCTGCTAATGGTATAGAGGGTGCTGAGAGGGGGTGAGGGGCAGGGAGCAGGGTGGTTGGGAAATTGGAGGCAGTGCTGTTTAGATCACTGGAGGGGAAGGAGTCAGCAATGCAAAGAGCTGGGAGCCCTGGGGTTGGGGGAGGGGGAGGCAAAGGGAACAGTGAGTGCAGGGAGGAGCTCGGTGTGTGGTGTGTTCATGCAACAGAAGTGTGGCCGGTGTGGCTGGGCTTGGCGGGGAGAGTAGTGAGAGATAAGATCCAGGTGTTAGAGCCAACTTTTGTAGTAAAGATTTGGAGTTTATTCTAAGAGTGAGAAGAAGCCATAGGAACTGACTGCATTCTTTTAAAGTCTGTCTCCTGCAAGGCAAATGGATGGGACGGGGCAAGAATGGAAACAGGGAGACCAGCTGGACGGATGTGGGACACTAGGAGAGCCACGATGGTGACCCCAAGTGGGCTGCTGGCAGTGGCCTTAGTGGGGATGATGAGAAGTGTTCAAATTCAAAACATATTTTAGAGATACAACCTAAAGGACTTGCTGGTAGTTAACTGCATTTTCCCAAGCTAAGTTCTCTCTCTTGAGCTACATTTCCAAAGCTTTTCTGAAACAATTTTAGGTCCAAGCTCCTTGTGCCTCACCTCCCTACTCATATGTGTATATATGCATATAAGTAGGCCTTTGGGCCTCAGGAAAATGTCCCCCCAAGCCCCCCTTTTTTTTAAGATTTTATTTATTTATTAGACAGAGATCACAAGCAGGCAGAAAGTTGGGGTGGGGGGGGAAGCAGGCTCCCTGCTGAGCAGAGAGCCCAATGCAGGGCTCTATCCCAGGACCCTGAGATCATGACCTGAGCTGAAGGCAGAGGCTTAACCCACTGAGTCACTCAGGTGCTCCCTGCCCCCAACCCTCTTAAATCACAGTTGGTCCAACTGGCTTATCCAGCTTTCCTTTGAATGTACCAAGTGCATTTCAGCTGCTTTTCTGTCTGCATATCCCAGAAATGACTCTCCAGACAGCTGTTCCTAGCTCCTGTCCCCTTACCATTCATACCCTCCTACAGACTCCTAGAGAAATTCTCACACAGTCATTTCATATTTGTGCATGACTTCTCACATCCCCAAGAGTTCTCCCCACTCTGGGGGTTGTCCTAGAAGCTGCAGCAGCCCCAGTAACATTATCACGATCCCCCTCAATGCTGGGGTCTTCACAAGCCTCAGTCATTTCACAGAGGACAGAAACCTACGAAGTGACATTTCACAGTTGGGAAAACTGGGATGTAGACAAGTTTGCATATCAAGAAACAATACCCAGCTAGGTTTTCAGTCAGGTGAAGCTCCACTGGGCTCTTAACCTCTTGCTTCTCCAAGAACTGCCTCCCCAAAAACTTAGGTAAGCATCATAGAACATGACTCTAGGGGCTCCTGAGTGGCTCAGTCAGCTGAGCATTGGACTCTTGGTTTGGGTTTAGGTCATGATCTCAGGGTCATGGGGTCTAGGCCTGTGTCAGCCTCTGTGCTCCGCAGGGTGTCAGCTTGTCATTCACCCTCTGCTTGCTCACTGAATGAATGAATGAATGAATGCGTGAATGAATGAATGAAATCTTAAAAAAAAAAAAAATACAGCTCTGGAACCAGATTGCCTAAAATTGAATCTGAGTGTCACCACATTTTAGTGGCCTGACTTTGGATGAGACACTTAACCTCTCTCTCTGTACCTCTGTTTGTTCATACATGAAGAACACACGATAATACTTGCCTCAGGAGGTGGGGAGTAAGGGAGCTACTGTTCACAGAGTGCTTAGAATGTGCCCTTGGCAAAGAACAAGTGCTTTGTAAGTGTTAGCTCTCACCCTCATCATTCTCTTGTCCCACCCACCGAGGCGTCACCCTCCTCTCTTATTTGTGCAATAGAAATTCAGCACTATGATTATGGAGTCGTTACCCAGCCTCCTAGGAAGGTGTGCAGCAGGTGGATGTGGTTAGGGGAGAGAACAGTGGGGTCATTAGAGAAAAGCTCGGTGGGGCAAAGTGATGAGGTGAGCTCAGAGATACTAGAGAGACACTTAAGAAGTTGTGATTAATTTACTTTGAATAATGCATTGATGTGAAGACATTTTTAAAGCATTCTTCAGATTAAGTTACCTACCATTCCGAGGTTCATCTCACTGAGCAGGAAGTGTGTGGAGTGGACAGGGGCAGGCTGTCTTCTGCAGTAACTCAGAGCTGAGCTTCTGCATCTCAAGTTCTTGCCTTCCCTTCCCTGTTTCACTGGAGTTATGGGGATGTTGGCAGTCAAAGTAAACCAGATTTATCTGTGGTCACAATGCATTTCAGCAGCTTAGGATGATAAAGTTTACTTCGTGTTCATGCTACAAGTCCCCCATGGAAGGGACAAGTAGGTTTTACTTACTGAGGAACCAGACTGGCAGAGGCCCCATCTCAATGGGCTTACTTGATCATAGGGGCAGGGGGAGAAGGAGCATGACAAACCACACGTTGGCTCTTGAAGCTTCCACCTGGATATGATCCATCATATTGCTCAGATTTCTTTTGCCAAAGCTGGTCATATGGCCATGCCTGGGCTTAAAAGGGAGAACTTGTATAATTTTTCTACAGGAAGTTCCCCAAATACTTGGGGACAAATTACCACAAGGAGTTAACTGAAAGTTAACAGAAAAACCCCTCTAAAAGTTACAGCTTAAACAATTAAGGGGTTATTTTCTTACACAACAAGAAGTTTGGAGGTAGGTCAAGGCTCAAATTGATAAATCCAGTAGCTCAAAGATGTTTTTAGGGACCCACTTTATTGCCATCTTTCTACTTTCCCATCCTTAGGAAATCAGCAATATATCTCTTCAGGGTCACAAAATGGCTGCAGCAGTGCCAGCCACCACATGCAGAAAAGTTAAATCCAGTGAAGAATGGAAGTGTTTCCTTCCACTAGTTGTATAGCATTGAGAAAATCTTTCCCAGAAACCCCAGCTTACCTTGGGTCCTGTCAGTCAGAATTAAATCACAAGACCATGACTCATCCCATCATGAGCAAAAGGAAAGACCACTTCTTGGGATAAGAAAAGGCCTATTTTCCCTTTGCACAAACAACTCTGATTTCTATAAGGAATATGCCACTGAACATAAGAAATCAGGAAAACGTAACCCAGTTTTACCAATTATGGTAAGCTCCTTTATTCAGGGTGTAAGTAAAGAAGGACAATTCCTTTATGAAAAGCCAACATTAGTGCTTACATAATAATTATTCACAGTTAAATAACTATGGGCAAATAAAGCAAGCAAAACAGGCATCTAACAGAGAAGGATCATTTACCTAAGGGACAGGGAAATAAGAAACTACTTTGGATTGATATTACATCCATCTCAAAAGAGTTGACCAAAAGAATTCACCACTCCCTTCTTTGTGGCTACCCTGGACTACAGCTTAAATGTTCTTTCTTCATCATTCACCCACACACTTCATTGCCTTTATCTGTGTACCTGTCTCCAACTGCAAGACGATAAGCTCTTTGAAAGATGTGGCCTGTTCCATTTGTTTATTGTTGTGCATGCTAAAAAGAATAAAGGGTACATCATTTGATTGCCCACTGTGTACCAGAACCCATTCTAAATTCTAAATGAATTGATTCTTGTAATACAACTGTCCCATGAGTCATATGCTATTATCTATGCTTAATACATAAAGAGTTGTAGGGTAAAAAGGTTAAGTCATTTGACCAAATGTATACAACTATTAACTGATAGAGTTGAATTTCAAATGAAGGTAGCCTACTTGGGTTATGTGTGGCACGTTTGCCCCCAAAATGGATGAACCCAATATGTTTTAATACACAATATGAAGGTGTCAGAGAACAGGAGTGAAGGACAAGTGACATTGTCTTTTATTTACATGTAGAATTTGAAATTAAGTATGATAGACTTAAATTCTCTGAGGGTGGAGAGCATGTATGTTTCTCTTGCTCAGTATGGAGTCTCTATCTCCTAGTATACTTCCTGGCACACGGTGGGTCCTCATGTGTTCCTGGGAGTGGGGGAGGGAGGATGGGAGGGACCGTGGGGGAAGGAAAAAAGGGAAGGAGGGAGGAAGAGGGAACAAATGAATAAACACAGTTAATGTCTTTCTCTTGCTCCTTAGATTTTCTACATTTTCCTGTTTATTTCTATGGATAATTTGGTGTCTAAAATCTGTATCTTACCTAAGGTAGAAGGAAGTATTAGTTTCTCTAAGTATCAAGGGTTCTCAAAGAGAAGAGTTTAAATGCAACATTGTTACAGAGTAGGGAGGCCTCTCTGCAGGTCTATAATTTATTTGGCTTTTGAAACAAAGTGTCTTATTTAAAGTAGATTTTTTTCTCTCAAATGGAAACATTTTTTAGGAATTTGGACTTGTGCTTTTTCTTCTAACTGTGTGCAGCTTGAAATGTCAATACCATGCATGGACATATTGATTTTTTTTTTTAATCAATGCAAGGCCATAGACAAATGAACAGCAATAATTAAAGAAATGGCCACTGTCAGTAGATGGAAATATTACTCTAGCAGTCCCTTTTAGCAGCAGCACATTTCAGGAGATAAATAATAGGTTGGGACCACTAAAAACACCACGTTTCTTCTTTATTTTAAAACCAGCATCATTGGGGGCTGCTTCCATAGAATGTTCCAGTCATACAGATTTAATACATTAGACCTAATTTTAGACCACATAGACCCCCACTCTAGTTTCAATCAACAAAGTAAAATCCTGATGAAACTGAATCATTGCACTGTTGTCACAAGTGAATTTTAACTGTTCTTATTCATAAAGGGTATCCAAGTTTCTACTGTTGACTCTGTTGTTCTGATTCTTATCCAGAGAGCTAATTTTAAAAAGTGTGTCTATGATCTAACCTTGAACTAGAGCTTCATGAGTCCCCGAATATCCCAACTTCCCCCAATATTCCATTTTTTTCCCTTTGTTCTTTATTCTCAGATGATTTTCAGATTTCATTCAAATTTCTTTGAGCTATTAGGGATTTTTTTCAGATGTCTCATCCAATTTCAATATATCAATGAACTCACTGATTTCCCTCTGCCATCTGTCTTTCTCTCCTAGGTTCTGTCCCTTGGTTGATGGCACCATCATTCACTCTGTGATCCAAAGCAACATTTAGCCACTTTTGATGGCTCTTGTTTTCCCACTTACATCCAGTTAGTTGATAAGTCCTTTCATTCAACCTCTATCTAGACCCATACTTTCCTTTTCACTCCACACCCTAAGTCAGTTCCTCATCAGCCTCACCCAGAATATTGCAGCAACCCCCCACCCCCAACAACTAGCTTCCACTGTGTATCTCTTATTCCCCCAACCCATCTTTTATATTTCCATTCAGTTATTTTCTAACAAAGAGATACATCATGTTTCTTTCCTGCTCAGAAACCTACAATGGTTCACTATTGCCAATTTTTAAAAAGTACAAACTCTTTAATAACATTCAAGACTTGGGGCATCTGGGTGGCTCCGTCAGTTAAGCATCTGCCTTTGGCTCAGGTTGTGATCCCAGAGTCCTGGGATTGAGCCCTGCGCTGGGCTCCCTGCGCTGGGAACCTGCTTCTCCCTCTGCCTTCCACTTCCCTTGCTTGTGCTATCTCTCTCTTCTGTCAAATAAATAAATAAAATCTTGAAAAAAAAATCTTAAAAAAAAAATTTCAAGACTCATCTTCAATTACTCCCAGCCTGCCTTAGCAGTCCCGTTTCCCATCATTACCTGCACATATATGTGTACTCCTCAGATTTATGTGATACTCCTCAGTTCTATCTACCTGGCAAAATCCAAATTACCCTTCCAGGCCTAGTTCAAATACCCTCCTTGGTATCCAGGCAGAGTTAGTCAGTCATTCTCTGCTCTCATATCCTTTTGTTTCTAATCTTATTCTGCCCCTATCTTAGGTCAGGTTCCTGGATGCAGACCCTGAGGAGAGGATTTGTAAGAAAGTCTTTTCTTTTCTTTTCTTTCTTCCTTCCTTCCTTCTTTTCTACGATTTTATTTATTTGACAGAGAGCACAAGCAGGGGGAGCAGCAGGCAGAGGGAGATGTGGCTCCCCAGTGAACAGGGAACCTGATTCAGGGCTCCAACCCAGGACCCTGGGATCGTGACTTGAGCCCAAGGCAGGTGCTTAACCAACTGAGCCACCCAGGTGCCCCACCCAGGAAAACGTTTCCTTAAGGAAATACTCTCAGAAGAGATTGGCGAGTGCAGGAGAAAAGGAGACAGGCAAGAGAAAGGGATTGAGCAAGGGTGACTTTAGATAAATGTCGCAGAGGGAGTGGCTCAGCCTCATTCAGTAGAGAAAGCCCGGATATTAATTTATGTCCTGCTCTATGGCAAGGGGGCTGGGCCTTCCTGCCCCCAAACCAAGCAGTCACTAGCAAGGAACTCAACTCTCAAGCACTTCCTGCTCCCTGAATATGTTCGCAGTACTCAAGGACAGCCACTCAAGGCATCAAAGGTGCAAGCCATTGGAAGCAAAAGTATGTCAGAGCTGAATGGAGGAAAATGGGAATGGTAAAAAGGGATCCCCAGGCATTTGGGAGGAGTCAGATAGTGTCAGCTATGCTCCTCTGCATAGTCTGCCTTGTTTCCACCTCTACACCTCCAGCCCGGGACAGTGAGTTACTTGGGAGGGAAGACCCCCTTCTTAGTCGTCCTTATGTCCCTACGGCAGGGAAGATATTACTTCACACCCAGAAAGTGCTTAAATAGCATTTATTGGTCTGAACTAAATACTCATTTTGTAGGTCTTTTACAACATTTTGCTGCTACTAATCATATTGCTGAGATTTTTCCCCCCCTTGCTGGTTTTAGCTCACTAATAAAAGATAGGGCTTCTGGGGTTTCAAAACCTAAGGTTCAACTTTTCACCTTGTACTTTCCTCCAGGGCAACAATTTGCTCAGCATATCTCTTCCTAAATTCCAAGACAGGCTGCTTGCTCTGCTCAGTCAAGACTGCCAACCCAAGAAACATTTTCGAAAGATCACAGTCAACATCATTGCCAAAAGAAGAAGTTCTTGGCACACAAAAGACCTGGTTCAATATGAGATGCCAGATGGTGATTTCAACTTCAGCTAAATTCCTGCTGAAAAAAGTGTTTGAACTGCAGATGAGAAAAGCTTCTATGACAAATTTCCAAGCGTTAGAAGCTTCAGAGGGAGATGGCAAGTGTTGATACACCGCCCCCCCCCCCCTCAAGCACATGCATACACCACAGACTTACTACCTGCAGCTGGTAATTAAGATTCCCACAAAGATGCCTCTGCTTTTTAAGAAGACTGAGCCCTGACTTAATTTTTACGAATATCAAAGTGTATTTACTGAGCCCATTGAAAGTAAATCCTAGTTGATTACATGTAGTGTTTTTCAAAGCATCTGCTTTCATTAGCATCTGCTGTAAGTTTTTTTTTAGTATCTGGAGGTAGTTCTTATTCCTCTCTACCAATAACTTCATTATTAAGCCAATTAATAATAAGCATGTCTTCCCTCCCTAATTAACTTTCTTTCTTTCTCTCCCTAATTTCAGATTACAGGGAATATACATGAAGTATAAGTTGATGGTGCTCTGCCTGGACACTCTTGGGTCCCTGACTCCCTTTTTCCTTCCAGGAGACTGAAAGCCCAGCTCCCCTGATTCCAGAGCTCCATTCAAGATTTAGCTGAGATTGGGACTTTGCCTCAAAGTGTGTGCCCTGGGCTGGTTCCTTCTCTTCTACTTTCCCTGTCTTGCTCCTCCCTCCCCATCCTTCTCCTCCCCTGAACTCCCTTACAGAACTAATGAACATTTCTTTAACAACATTCTTGCACCCAAATCCTCATCTCAGGGTCTGCTTCTGGGGAAATGGCTTAAAATTCTGTGCAATGGGAAAATTCAAGGCATTTCATGCTGACATAGAGAAGGGCCATGTTTCTGGGGCAAGAAATGTATGCATACCTACTTTATCAATCAAAATTTAGAAGGAAATAGTAGATACACTCAAATTAGTTATTTGGAGAGTAGTTAATCAAAGGACAGGTTATGAAGGGGTGGAGTGGGAGAGAAACAAGGAGAGTGCCTGCCTGGAAACTTATAACAGGGGGTGCCATTACCAACCCTAGGCTCCACTGGAAAGTGGAGAACTGGTGATGGAGTTGCATGGAGAGGGCTGTGGGACAGAAGTTGTGATTTTAAGGGATGCCGCCAGCCTAAGGGACCCTACACGGAGCAAGCTGGCCAAATACCCCGATCTCATGCTTCTTCATTCCTTCTGTCTTTTACCAGTGATCCCATCAGCTGAACCTAATGGGAAGCCAGGTGCAAAACAGCCCCATCACACAGCACATCTAAGCTGGCCTCTAAGGACATAGGGCAGATGAAGAAGGGCAGAGAGGGCATCCAGAAGGACAAACAGAAGCTATCCAGTGTACCTACCTATTTTCTCTCTCTCTCTCTCTCTCTCATCTGTCGTACACACACACATACACACACACAGTTCTTCCTGTTCTTGATTTTGACTTGTGACTAGACACACATAAATAGACCCTGATTTTTCTGTCTGCTGATCTTGTTTCTTTCTATCTTATTTATACTTCAGAGGACCCAGAGATAAGGCTGAATGATGTTACTCATCATATAGACTATCAATAATCAAGAATCAGACAAAATACATTTTTTATTAAAGTCTGAGTATAGTATCATTTCAACAGTGGATCCCAAACCCCAGCCTCTAAGATGGCAATTTTGGTAGACTGAAATGTGACTCACATAGCTTGCTACCATAAAATTTATCATCTCTTTGACCTCACCATTTTGGTGTAAAGAGCTCCAATTTCTATCCCTAGAGAACTGTACCCATTTTCTCCCAATTGAAAACAAAATACAAATCAAAGATTTATGTTGTTTTTTGTAATGATGTGTCTAATTGCTTTCTCACCAACCCAGGTGCAAAGATGCCCTCATTATTTGGCTTACTCCCAGATGTCCTCATTATTGGAAGCAATGCTCTCTTTCCATGGGTCTCATTTTCTGTGTTTGAAATGGTCATTTTCCCCAAAAGCAGCTCTGGCTTGGTTCAGAATATAAAGCTCCATGAAATGTGCAGAATGAAGACAAAGGGTCACTCAGTTATTTGAAGGTCTTTGAGATTAATCATAGAAAACAACATCCTGATCCTCGGGAGGCTGGCAGGAGCCAATGTGGGGGAGATGAAGGGTAGATGATGGAGAAGCACCACTTCCCATATCCCTGGGGGACAGGCCATGCTCAGCAGTGCCTTCTGAGCCTCTAGCTCTCTCTCTCTCTGCTGGGTGCCTCGCAGACTCAGATATGGCTGAGCAGAAATCAGGTAGGTTGTGGTGTAGCAGATGGCCTACAGGGCTGTCATTTCTAAGTATTAAAATAATATATATTGGGCTATTTTCTTCTGAAATTTTATTTTTAAGATACTTTGGGGGGGGTCCAAAGCTTTTAGAGGGTAGTGATTTAAAAAAAAAAAAAAGTCTCTAAACACCAGGCTTTCTTTTGAGGCAACTGTTCACATCACCCAGGCAAACTAACCACAGAAGGGGGTGTGAGAGGGGCTGAGCTTGCCTGGGCATCTGATGTGGTCACTGTGAGATTATGTGGAGCAAGGCACCCAACCATCCAGAACCCAAGTTCCTAGTAACAAGAAGGAATGAGGTGAGATGAAATTAGAATCCTCTTCTTGTCCTAACATTGCACTGTGAGCTACAGTAACCACTGGCCACATATGGCTGGTCTAAACTGAGATGTGCGGCCGGCGCCCCAAATCACCAGATTGCTAAGACTCAGTACAAATGCAAACGTCAGGTATATCATTAAAATTTTTTATATTTAAAGTGGAAGTGATAACAATTTGAAGTATCCTGGGTTAAATAGAATATAAAAATTTTACTAATTTACTATTTAAATTGTGGCTACTAGAAATTATAGAATTATACATGTGTTTTATATTACATTTCTATGGGACAGAATAGTTTTATAAATTTATTTATTTATTGAACTATTTAAAAATATATGTTTCTGCCCCTGGGGGAATATATATATATATATATATATATATATATAAATATAAAATAAAATTATTAAAAAAACCAAAAACACAAAAAAAACCAAAAAAAAATAAATAAAAATATATGTTTCTGGATTCCCATTTCATCTGGATGCACCTCAAATTCTAGAAAACTTGCAGTAGTCTTGCTTAGGAAATAATGTTATATCATTTTTCCATGCAAAGGTCTTTTTAGAACAAGAGGTAAAAATTTCATGTCATGCTGGCTAAGTGTTGAAGAGAGTGTGAGGGGAAGAAATGACACTCAAGTGAAGTTCGAGTGTCAGTCTTTAATTTCTAGAACAGTAGAACATTTCCAGATTGCAGAGACATGAAAATAGATACTACCCAATGTAAAGAGCAACCCTCCTCCCCTGCCGCGCACACTCATGCAACATCTCTTCCCCACGTGAGTGCCAAATATTTGGAAAGCACCTAAATGCTCAGCTCATGAGCTCCAGAAGGCACATGTTCAATAACCACTTCCTGCTGTGTGTTAACTGCTGGGTCAAATAAAGAACAGTAGATAGAGAAACAGAGACAGGGTATTACAATATGACTTTGGACTGATGATCGGGGCAGAAAGAGCAGCACAAGGAAGATTCAGAGGCACATGAGAGCAGAGAGGAAAGAGGGTGTGTTGTCGGGGGACACTGAGCAAACATCCATCTGCAGGGATCAAGTAGGGCCTTGCCTATCAGGAAGGAGATCTAGGACGTGACATGACAGATGCTGGGCTGAATCATCTAATGGAAGTCATGTTTTAGGGGACTCATCCCTCTCTTCCCTGTCATGCTATATGTGTGTGTCCCCCGACTGGAGGACCTAATTAGAATCCAGTGCTACCTAGGGGCGCCTCAGTGGCTCAGTTGGTTAAACATCTGCCTTTGGCTCAGGTCATTGTCTAGCTCAGGTCATGATCCCGAGGTCCTGGGATTGAGGTCTTGGTCAGGCTACCTGCTCAGTAGAGAGTCTACCTCTCCATCTGCCCCTCTCCCTGCTTGTGCTTTCTTTCTCTCTCTCTCTCAAATAAATAAAATTTAAAGAAGAAGAAGAAGAAGAAGAAGAAGAAGAAGAAGAAGAATCATCATCCAGTGCTACCTAATGTTATTCCCTTACTCTCTCCTCTGTATGTTTTTTGCTTCCCTGAGGGAGAATGACACAGTCAAGGGCAAGAGCCAAGGTTGATATTTCTTTTGAGTATCTCATGATTTCCAGGACAGTTGTAGGCACAAACTAGGTAATTCAATGCTTACTTTAAAAATAATAATAATGAATTAAATTGTGCTAAATCCCTGTGTCCTCTTCTTTCATATATTTCATGAGGGAAAATAGGGAATCCTAATTCTTAATGAGGTTTCTTCAGGGACAAAAGTGTAAATCAATTTGCCTTCTATTTCCTGTCCCTTTCCGGTATATATCTCCTTTCTTCCCGGCATCTTCCTGGGTTCTTACCACCATTATTTTGTCACTGAAATTTTCTCCTGGGCTTTGACTTGTGCATCTGGGTAGAACCCAAATTTCCCCCTTCCTCCTTTCACCACTCATTTCCTTAGGTTCTTGGGGGGAGAGTATGGTGCCCCTTCCCCCCAGACAGTCCCTGGCTTGGACTAGAAATTATGATCTGCTTTAACCATTTAGCCCTCCCTGATGCAGCTCTGTAACTTACCTGAAGGTTGTTTGTTTGTTTCTTTATTTTTTAAGATTTTATTTATTTATTTGACACACACACACACACACACACAGAGATCACAAGTAGGCAGAGAGGCAGGCAGAGAGAGAGGGGGGGAAGCAGTCTTCCCGCTGAGCTGAGAGCCCTATGGCAGGGCTCCATCTGAGGACCTCGAGATTATGACCTGAGCCGAAGGCAGAGGCTTAACCCACTGAGTCACCCAGGCACCCTGAAGATTGTTTCTGATCAGTTCACATGGTCAGAGAAATAACAAAGGCATTTATTGAAGAAGTGTAGAAGGGCTGGGAGTTACCATGGAGGGACAGAAGCATTTTTGTTTTGTTTTTTGTTTCTGTTTTTTAAAGATGTTACTTATTTGTCAGAGAGAGAGAGAGAGAGAGAGAGAGAGAGACTGGACACAGAGGGGGAGCTGCAGAGGGAGAGGGAGAAGCAGGCTCCTTGCAGAGCAGGGAGACTGATGTGGGGCTCGATCTCAGAACCCTGGGACCATGACCTGAGCTGAAGACAGATGCTCCAACAAGCTACCCAGGCGCCACCTGTTTTGCTTTGTTTTTAACTGTACTGTGAAAGAAATA